GCTTTGTTCAGTCTATTGATAAATAAATTTATAAGCAAATTCGAGTTGTTCTGGACATTTGTCACAAATAATAAATGAGTTTATACTTCTTTTTAGAGTTTAGTTGTGCTTGTTACTCCTTCTCAGTCCTCCTCTTACATACCTGACCTTATGCTTACAAATTTATTACATCTAAGTGTTTACAATTTAAAATACTTTCTGTTCTAAACGAACACTTTGTCTAAGCTTTAAAGATTTTAATAATTGAAAAAATTTTCCAATTTATGCATTATTGATAATTTTTCTGAATTTATAATGTTCTTGAGTATTCTACTAAGATTAATGCTGCAGAGATAAAAATATTTATGAATGGTCTTTTCATTTAATATAAATTTAAATGAAGTCATGGCTAATGAAAATTACTTTATACTCAAAACAGTCACTAACAAGTGGAACTGGAGAGATGGCTCCATGGTTAAGAGCACTGTCTGTTCTTCCTAGATTTGATTCCTAGCACCTACATAAGTTGTTCACGGCAGTCTATAAATTCAGTTCAAGGGAATCTGATACCTTCATCTGCTGTCTGTGGAAGCTGCATTACTTAGTAAAACACTCATACATATAAAATAATATTTGAATACTTTTGCATATTTAAGTTGACTGATGTTTATTGTAAGCATAAAAGGACATATTAAAAAAACCATTAAAGTGTTCTGGAAATGCCATTAGTAATTTTTTTGTATTATTGATTTTTTTTTTATACTGAAAGGCTCTGTTTAAAGTTTACAAAACCTAGTGCCCTCTTGCTAGACTTCCAGTGTGCCTATCTTGTGCTGTGCATCAAACAGGCAGTTTCTAAACATTTGTCTGATGTGGTTTTTATCTCCTCCTGTGCTAGGCTAGTTCTTGAGTTAAAACACTGTTCATTCAAAGAACTTCAAAGATTCTCCAAACCCAAATAAAAACTGTTTTAATTCATTCAATATTTTGTTCAATATTTCCCTCTGTCTCTCTCACACACGAGATACACAAATAATTTGATGATAATTCAATGTTTTGAACAAGTTTTATTTAAAAATGTAGGAAATGCTTGGTATTTTGTAACTTCTTTGACTTGAACATATAGTTCATTATATATTCATATCATAAGTTACAGTGGCTTTCATCTTTTATTCTGTTTTAGAACCACAAAAAACAGTGACATAAAGTATTTGATTTCTCACATATTTCATTTGGAATCAGTGGCTTTATTATTAATAAATTATTAATTTTTTTTTAACATCCTTTAAGTTTAAGATTTTTATTTTGGTTGCCTAAATGTCAGAAAATCATACACCTTCAACAACATGCATAAAGTATTTACTAAACTAATGTCATCACCTTGGTTTCTAATACTGACTGACTCATGAGGCTTTAAGGCAATTTAATGTTATGAATCATGGCATGATTTAACATTAAAAGAAAACCATGTCTGTGTTCAGCATGTGTGTGTGTGTGTGTGTGTGTGGTGTGTATGTGTGTGTGTCCTTTTGTAAAAATCCAAATGAATCAATTTCTGTTTCCATTTATAGGTACAAAGAATAGATTTGGCATAAAGAATGTGTGAGGCAGGTTTTCTGGTGTGAGTTGGTAAGCACTGTGATTTTATACTTCAGACAGCTGAAGTGGCTCTAGCTAATTTGAAGAACAAATATGAAGAATGAAAAGGCAATGGTGACTGAAACAATGACAAAACTGAGGAATGAACTAAAGGCTTTGAAAGAAGATGCTGCAACCTTCTCATCCCTAAGAGCAATGTTTGCAACAAGGTAACTTTTTCTCCCTAAATTTGAGTGTTTCACATGGGAAGAACACTGTCAATATTTAGGAATGAAAGTATTTGGTTTTCATGAAGAAAATGATGAGATGCCACACTGACAAGTTTAAGATTTGACATATTTATAGAGCTCAAGGTTATTTTGACTGAATCTTGTGGAGATGGCAAAGAGAAAGGCTCTGGCAGGGACTGGCTTCTGGATTTCTCACATAATTCAATGTTTTTGTTTGTTTGTTTTGTTGTTGTTGTAGACTATTCTTTTAAGGTGTGTTACTTTTGTTTATGGTCTGGAACATTTGTTTAATGATGCCAAGATGTGTTTGATTAAATAAAATTCACCTGTGTGTGGTCAGGAGGCTGGGTCAGCAACTAGCTGACAGGAAGTGGTAAGGGAGGAGCCAGGTGGAAGAGGGTTATAAGCTCAAGGGCTTCTAGAGAAGTGGAGGAGAGTAAGTGGGGCTGCTTGTTAATCAGCCTCTTTGGATATTAAGTTCTTTGAAGGGACAGAGATTTAGATAAATTCCTGTTTTAGCTGTGAAAGAGTTGGTGCCTGAGGTAACAATTCCCTCAGGCTGCTGCTCTTGCGGCCTAACTGCTGCTAATAGTGATGGAATTGCAGTCTGATTTGGACAGACATGGTGTAAAAGACAGAAACAATTAAAAAAGAGAGGACAACATTAGAATATGTGTATTTCTGGTAACTGTGGTGGCAGGACAAAGAATGGGAAGGGGAGGCAAGGTTGATTTCTCGATGAAAGAAATCAGGATAACATTCAGAATTAAGAGAACATATATTTCCTCTTTGAGAAAGAAATTTTAAAAATTTAAAGAGTCAAATGTCAATTTGGCTCATATTTTAATTATTGCCCTTGCAGTTCATTTCACAGACATTTGTTTCTTTCAGGTATAGTAATTGCCTTAGTTTATATTTTTAAAATATTCTCAAGTTACCTAAAAATTAACCCAAAGTCCTGGAATTCCTTTTGTTTTTCACTAAGCCCCAATTTTCATCATGATCTACATAGCCCCAGAGTCATGGCATTAAAGGCTACCCCCTTGAACCTAATATATTTTAGCCATAGTTCCTGGTTTGTTTGTTTCTTTCCTGTATAACAACTCAAACTGAGTTTTAATAACTCAAACTGAGTTATTATAGTTTCAGTTTGTATAATATATTTTTGGAAAATTTTATGAGCTTATTAGCTATCTGCTAGTACATGAAGAATAACTGTTACTAACCTTTTAAAAAAGAATTTATTTATTTATATTTCATTTTATATTCCAACCATAGTTTTTCCCTCACATCCCTCCTCCTGCACCCCTTTGGTCTCCCCCTCCCCCAGCCCACCCCCTCATCCACACCTCCCAAGGAGTAAGGACTCCCCATGAAGAGTCAACAAAGTCTGACACATTAAATTGTAGCAGTACCAAGCCCCTCCCCTGCTGCATTAAGGCTAAACATTGCATCCCACCATAGAGATTGGGCTCCAAGTTAGCTCATGTACCAGAGTTAGGTCCTGGTCCTACTGCTGGGGTCCCCCTCAATAGTCCAAGCTTCAGAACTGTCTTGAGCATACTGAGGGCCTAGTTCAGTTCCATAGAGGCTTCACTGCTGTTAGTCTAGACCTCATGAGTTTTCACAAGCTTGGTTCAGCCTTCCCTATAGATTTCTCCATCATGAACTCAGCAAAACTCTAGTGTGAGATTTTTTTTTTCTCAGCCTACTTTTTCCAAATGTATGTGGTTGACTGAGTATATAACACAGAGCTTGTCTTTCTGCTTCAGTATAAATATGAAGTGGGATGAAGGTGTTCCCAGTGGCCTGCTGTACCAGAATCAAACTTAAAAATATTTCTCTTTTTGACAACTCATGACTTTATTATTTGGCTGAGAACTCATGGAAACTTTATTTTTTTTTTTTTTTTTTTTTAATTTGGGAAATCTGCCATATTGAAAACAGTGTCTGCTGTAATCTAAAATAAATCATGTAAATACAGATAAAGAAAGAAATGATCTTTTTTTTTTTCATTATCATTCTTTTGGCTACTATAGGTATAGCATATAAAAACTTTTGCAAAGGATACAGTTTTATACACTAGACATAGCAATTGCAATATACCTAAAGTAGTGGTGGATATTATGTGAAATTATATTATCACCACAAAGCAGCTTCCATAATAACTGTTTATGTTGCTAATTTAGAATGTTCCCTTATGGAACCACCAATTACTGAACATGGTCCACTGTTTTCAATTGTCTATTATTGTAGCTAGTCTTTCTTGTTAGACTTTCTTTGGACCACCAGCCCCAAAACTTACTATCAATTATAAAAGCTTGGCCTCTAAGTTAGATTTGTTTCCAACTAACTCATAACTTAACCTGCTTCTATTAATCTACATTCTACCATGTGACTTTTTACCTCTCCACCATTCTGTATGTCTGACTTCCTGTGAATCTTGCTGGAGTATGTGGCTGCATCAGATTTTTACCCTGGGTTCCTCTCTCTGCCTGGAAGTCCTGCATATTTTCCTGCGTAGCAATATTGGCCTTTCAGCTCTTTATTAAACCAATCAGGTGCCTTTGGCAGGTGGCAAAACATTGATGTATCTTCACACAGTGTAAACAAATATCCTGCAACATATTATTATAGAATATATCCATTTTATTGATAGGAAGATCAGTGCTCTAAATTCCAGTTAAATTTATTATATTAGTTCCTTTTATCTATGGGGGAATATAGCTCAGAACCCCCAGTGGATGCCTGAAACCACTAGTACCAAGCCCTATAGATTACTTTGTTTCCCTTATATGTAGCCTCCAATGAAGCTTAGATTATACTCTTAAATATAATATTGGTATATATCCATTCTAACAGTATTGCATAATGAAAGTTTGATACTACAGTGGACATCAATATTTGGGCTGAGGGTAAGACAGGAATACCTTTCTAATTAAGTTTCAGTTTATCTTCACTAGAATTGTTTCCTCACCCTTTTTTGCTTGGGTTCCAGATGTGATGAATATGTCACACAGCTGGATGAGATGCAGAGACAGTTAGCAGCTGCAGAAGATGAGAAGAAGACTCTAAACACTTTATTGCGAATGGCTATCCAGCAAAAGCTCGCCCTGACACAGCGGCTAGAGGACTTAGAGTTTGACCATGAGCAGTCCCGACGAAGCAAAGGCAAACTTGGGAAGAGCAAGATCGGCAGCCCCTAAAGTAAGTGGGGAGGCGCCAGCCACTGTGCCTACCATAGACACTTACCTCCTGCATAGTCAGGGCCCACAGATACCCACCATTCGGGTCAGCAGTGGCACTCAGAGGAAAAGGTATGCATGCAGCTATTGTCATAGTGTGGTACAGTGACAGGTTTTAGTTGACTGCAAGAATTTATGTGCATTTTGTCATGTAAGATGGAGAAAGGGAAAGAAAAGAAAAAGTGAAAGTTACTAATGGGCCTTGCTAATGCTGGTCTTTCTGCGACCCCCATCCACACATACTGATTAACCATAACTTGATTTTCAAGTGTCTGTTCATTTTTTTGCTGCTGTTTGTGCACATAAATATGTCTTTCCTTAGTCTACAACCTAAAAATGGGTATATAAAGGTGGATATTAACAGTGAAGCTCTGTGAACATGGGCTATAATTTTAAATGTCATGATTCTAGAAATGATGTCATTTTTTTCTGTTATTGGGCAAAGACATGAGTTTGTTCTCCAAGAGAAACAATTGTCCATAAGACTACAACTGATGACTAATTTCTGTATTTGATAAGATGGAATAGAATATGTATAATCCTTTTCTTAAAGGCAAGTTTTTGTGACTTTTTTATTAGTCGTGTTAATATTGCCGAGAAACCACTTTAAAAGATTTTAGTGACTTAATTTTGTAACATTTTACCAAATTCTGGTTGTTGAGTTATTTGCCCTGCTTTCAGTTAATATAGTTAAAGTTTTTTTTTTTTTTTTTTTTTTGTTTGAAGAGCTTTTCTTTAGGAATAAAAAATAATATATATATTTTCTATTTATAGTTCAAACTGTCTAACTATAATACATTTCTATTCCAGTATTCAGAGTAGTTTTCAAAAAGAGTTGTATCCTGATATGGAAACTAAAAAAAAAATGACAAAAAAATTCTTGACTTTCATATTTGAAAGATAATTAAATGCCAATATGAATAATGTTGTCACTGGTGAGGTGTTGAAAGGTAATTAAAGTAAAACTTTTTTGTTTCCTATATGTATTTTTCTTGGATCTCCTGCAAGACAATTTTCACCTTCCCTTTGTGATCAGAGCCGTCCCAGGACTTCAGGGGCTTCCTACCTACAGAATTTATTAAGAGTTCCCCCTGATCCCACCTCCACAGAATCATTTCTTCTGAAGGGTTCCCCTTCCATGAGTGAACTCATCCAAGGGCATCGGCTCAGCAAGGAAAAAAGGTTAACCGTGGCTCCACCAGGTAAACACTTTTTCCTTGGGTGCATGTGATGCAAATGACAGTTAAGTAGACAGCTCTCCTCTTACTTAGCCCACCTTGCAAGTTGAACTGTGATGACATGGGACTTTCATCACTGAAGTGAAAGGTCATTTACAGTTAGCTTCCTGTTTTCTCTTTCCACAGCTAGATACCAGGCATGTTTCTTTCCATTAGCCTAGGAGAGAGGAGGATAGGCAAAGAGAAGTGAGCAGTAGGTACAACACGGGACATGTGTGCATCCTGTCTACAGTTCTGTACTCCATGGCTGTCCCATCTTGGTTAGTTTTTGTTTTCTCTTAACATTGCCAATGTAATTTCAGCAAAAGGAGGCAAGCTTTTAAGGATAATTTAGTGACTCAGAATGTCCAAATCCTTGACAGTTCTTCCCCTTAGGATCATTCAGCTTTTCATATCAAGTTCTCACAGTGACACTTGGTTGATGGTTACCAGTGTTCCACAGCTTACTTTAACTTCATTGTTTTGTACCTTTCCACCCACTACAAAAATGTCTAAATAAAAATGTGGTTTATGCCTCATCCAGTAAATACAGACTATTCCTTGTGAAGTCCATGTATAGTTCAGAGGTAGAAAACAAGTCCATGAAACAAAATAAGCACAAGTGCAGCCTTTACCTGTCTATTGCAGGGAATATAGAATTAAAATGAAATAACGTATTGTTAGCAGTTACAAGACCAGGAATTTCACAAGATCATCTGTATTTTTGTCCTTTTGAAAGATTTTTGGGTATGTGGCAGCTCTAGGCTAGGTCAGTATTCATGACTCAGCTGTGCTGTTAGATGGAGTAGGTTCTACCCTTTTCCATAGTCCCTACCACTTCCTACTGATTGTACCTAGCTTTCTGTACTTGTTCCTGCATCTTCTTTCTTTCACCGAGCCTCTGAGAGTGCCACCTTTGCCCAGTTTAATTTTTTAAAACATTTTAAACTTCAAATTTGTCTTAATTCCTTTTTTGGGAACCCCAGCCTTTGGATCTCTATTTTCTTATCTGTCATATGCTATCAGCATACTGTTTGGAATTAAAATATATGTTAGAAGAGGCTGCAGACATGGTTTAGTGGTAAGAGCACTTGCTAGTCTTGCAGAGGACCTGGGTTCATTTCCCAGTACACACATAGTTGTTGGTTTTTAACCATCTGTAACTCGAGATTCATGGGATCAGACATGCTCTTCTGACCGTCATGAACACCAAGCATGCACATGGTTCATATACATATATGAAGGCAAATCATACATAAAAATAAAATGAATGAATTTAATACAAAATTTTAAAAAAAAGTGATCTTATAATGTACACCACATGTTTACTGTTCTAAAAAGTTTTTGAGGAAACTAGTAATACTAATAATTTAAAATGGCGTAATAGCTAGAATTCATGCATTCATGCATAAACACATATATACATGTACACACCTATGTATATATACATATTATACACACATATGTACATATATGCACAAACACATATTCTCAAGTATTTATACACACACATAAGTAATTAATCTCCTGGGTATTTCCCATTTCCTATTGTTTTATACCCTTTAAGAAAGTAAAAAAGAAAAGAAAAGAAAGCACCTGAAGTATTCTGTGAGCCACTAAAGAGGTGATGACTTATCAGGGTACCCATTGTAGGTAAAACTCATTAAATATGTCTAGCTTTTAAAATGGATTTAGTTGTACTGCCTTCTTAGAAAATAACTTGTATAATTCATAAGTAACTCTTTTGTATTTAAATATAAGGTAACATTAATAAGATTAAAAGTTAATGAATATTATCAGTTACTATTTTCATTACTTTATGTCTGTTTGGTCCTTATCTCCATGAATATGTATTTATATCATTATCATTACATTATAGAAGCTATTGATATCATAAACTTTTTCATGTTGCTAGGTTTACTTTTAAGATTGTTGTATCTTTCAACATTTATTGTTATTATTCTAAAATTATGTGTATATATGTGTGGGCACATGGGTATAGGTGCCCTTGGAGGTCAGAAGAGGGCAGTGGATCCCCTGGAGCTGGAGTTTCTGATGGTTGTGAGTCTCCCAATGAGGATGCTGGGAACTGAGCTTAGGTACTTCAAAAGAGCAGTATGAACTCTTAACTGCTGAGCCATCTCTCCATTCCTTTGTATTTTATTTTTATTTCATATGCTATCATCACATCAATCATTCTTTCCATTCTTATCCATTATTTTGTATATAAGTAGGAAGCTACTTGGCATAGCTTCATGTTTTCAACTTTTCATCTTTTTGTTCTTGGGCTCAGAAAATGATGGGTTAAGAGTTTACTGTCTTTAATGGTTTTTGGTCTATTTTGGTGTTGCTTTAGAACAGTTGTATTATTATACTAACTTCTCTATGAAACTTTTCACACATTCTAAATATTTCTGATTCTTTACATACTCTATAATATCTTCATCTTTAAGATAATTAGCATACTTGGGTGAGCGTACCATTACATTGTCTTAAATTTTTTAGTTTGAAAAACTAGAAAAAAAATCATTAGATATGAGTAATATGTATATGCAAAATCAAAACTATAACTACTATGGAATTCAGAATCAATAGGTCTAAAAGTTGCTTTCATAAAACCTAGAATGTTGATCAACTTTGTATATCTAGGCATTTATTTGTAGTTAAAATAATAATAGAGGAAAAAAAGTAAAATGTTATAACCCAAGAAATAATTTGTATTACATATTATAAAACCAATTATCTTATTTGTTTATTTATTAATAATTCCTATTTATGTGTGTTTCACCTACATATGTTTCTGTGTACTAACTACATGCATACCTAATATAGACTTTGGAGCTAGAAAAGAGGGCCAGATTCCCTGTCACTAGAGTTATAGATAATTATGAGCTGCCATGTGGATGCAGAGGATTAAAACTTAATCCTATGTTATATCAGCCATCTACGTATCCCCCAAATCAGCCAGTTTAAGCCTTGATAAAATTCTTATTAAATAAATATTTTTTAAAGGATTCTAGTAGTGGAACTACTATAGAAATCAACTAATCATACACCAAGAATATTTTCTAAAAATATCTACTTTTTTGACAATATATATTAACTTTATTAACATGAAATATTGAGACATATTTATTTAGTTTTTATTCATAGTTTTAATATAAATTATTGGCTACTTTAAAAAATTTCTGAGATAACAATATATATTAATTATTCTTAAGGGATAGTTCCTTATTTTAGAATTTTTTGATAATTACTTTGTAAAATACATATATAACATTTTATTTTAATAAACAAATAAGGACATTTATTTTTCCATTGCTGGTTCTTCATGTAATTATATTAATAAAAGTGAAATTAATCTTTTTTATCCTTAGGTTGAGAAATTGATAGATATATCTCACTTAAAAATTTATGATAGAGAACATGAAATGTTTTTGCCTTCTATAATAAAGAAATAAAAACACACTTAAGTAGGTTCATTTTATGAGATTGTCAGCATACCATCCCACCCTCTTTTTTATTATTAATTAATTTTTCCAGCCCATCACAGTTTCCTCTCCCTTTTTCCTCTTCTCCAAGTCCCTCCTCTAACCTCTCCTCTTCCCCCACCCACAATTTACTTCTCCTCCTTTCTATTCAGAAAATGGCAGGCTTCCCATGTATATCAGCCAGTTAGGGAATATCACTGTGCTTTAAGATGAGGCACCTTTTTTCCTATTAAGGCTGGACAAGGCAATCCAGTAGGAGAAAGAATTCCAAAAGCAGGTAATAGTAAGAGTCAGGCCCTGCTCCCCACTGTTAGGGGTCCCACAAGAAGACCAAAGTGCACAACTGTAACATATGTGCAGAGGGCCTAGTTCAGCCCCATGCAAGCTTTCTGGTTGACAGTTCGGTCTCTGTGAGTCCCCTATGAGCCCATTAATTGATTCACTAGGTGTTCTTGTGGGGTTCTTGGTCCCTCTAACTCTCACAATTCTTCCTTCCCTCTTCCATAGGATTCCCTGAGGTACACCTAATGTTTGGTTGTGGGTCTCTTCATCTGTTTCCATCAGTTTCAGGGGGAAACCTCTCTGATGACTATTGTGCTAGGCACCCATCTGAGTATAGCAGAATATCACTTATCACTAGAAATCATTTCATTGACTTTTTTTTTTTTTTTTTGCCGGTCCTGTTTGATTCTATTCTAGGTCTCTGGACTGTCCAGCTTCTGGGTCCTGGCCCCCCAGACAGTGTCAGGGTGGTCTCAAGGTGGATCAGTCATTGGTTGTCCACTCCCTTAATTTCTGTGCCACCTTTACCATAGCATATCTTGTAGACAGGGCAAATTGTAGGTCAAAGGTTAAGTGACTGGGTTGGGGTCCCAATTCCTACACTGGAAGTCTTGCCTGGTTACAGGAGATGGCCGGTTCAGGCTCCATATCCTTCACTGCTAGAAGTCTTACCTAGGGTCACCCTCATAAACTCTGAGGCGTTTCCATTGTCCTAGGTTTATAGCTCATCCCAGAGATTCCCCAGATTCTATTGTCTTTCCCGGTACTCCATCCTCCCCTCAACAGATCCCTCCTGTTCCTATGCCCACCCCTGCATCCACCTGTGATGTCTTTTCTGTTTACCCTTCACAGTGGGATTCATGTGTCCCCCTCTTGAGCCCTCCTTGTTATTTAGCTTCTTTGGATCTTTGGATTGTAGCATGATTATCCTTTCCTTTAGGTAACATCCACCCATCAGTGAGTACATACCATGTGTGTCTTTCTGGGCCTGGGTTACCTCACTCAGGATATTTTCTAGGTCCATTCATTTGCTGGCAAATTTCATGTCATTGTTTTTAACAGCTGACATTGTGTAAATGTACCACACTTTCTTTATCCATTCTTCAGTTGATGGACATCTACGTTGTTTCCAATTTCTGGCTACTATTAATAAAGCTGCGGTTAACATAATTGAACAGAGGTCCTGATGGTGTGGTAGAGTATGCTGTGGGT